AAGTATCCGCATTGTAGATCTAATGTCGTCATAAACTTTGTACTTTTGGCAGAGTGTAATAGGTCGTCCATACGGGGTAACGGGTACGATCCGGCTTGGTTATCGAGTTTATCTTCCGATAATCGACACAAACGCGCGTGCCTCCGTCTTTCTTAGGCACCATCACCACTGGTGATGACCATGGCGAATCAGCTTCCTCAATGATATCGTTCTCAAGCATCTTCATTATCTCACCCTTGAGTTCTCGCAGCTTCGGGAAAGACAAACGGTACGGTGGTAACGAAATTGGTGCATGATCTCCAGTGTCAATGAAGTGTTGCGTATATGGTGTTGGCTCACATGATGCCCCAAACACATCCGAATGAATTTGCAAAACTTTATCGAGTGGCATCTTCTAAGGTATTTTAAGCTCTGTACCGTCCGTACAAATCTGTCGACTTGTAGTTGTAAACAATACCTTTAAATAAACCAGAATCTCTGCATCGTTCAGGTGTGACCATTTCTGGAGGGATAGCGTGCGGAGAGTAATCATTTTGTACGTCCGGTCCATAATACTCAAAGTCGGACATATACACTTTCGATGTGTCGATCTCGCGGATTCTTTCCTCCTCCGGTTTGCGCTTTTGGTATGTCGTACATACTTTGACCCTTTCTACAAGATTTAACTCTACTGGCAGTGGATCAGCAAAATCGAAATGGGTAGTTGGATCGCTTTCGAAATACCAGCGACGCTGGCCCATGGTCATGACAATTCCAGCTTGCTCCATGAAATCAGCGCCTATCAGAGTTCGGTTACCAGTAGCTTTCGGTAAAATAATAAATTGGATGCTTAAACATCGCTCACCGATAACAATTTTGCAGACAGTAGAAAGGCAAGTCTGCAGCGGTGAGCTTCCGTCGGCGAGTGTAACACCACACTTTACATTTTCATATACGTAACCCTTGGAGTCCATGATACGCTTCAAATTTGTGCTAGCCACACACGTTCGAGCTCCCGAATCGAAATACGCTTGGCCAGGTACTCCGAAAAGTTGCACATTTGCAATCGGAATGTCCCGACCGATAGAAGTGGACAAGGAATTGAAATGGACTACACCAGACGTTGTTGTTGGTTTTTGTCTACAATTAACAATTGCGCTATATTCGCAACGTGCGCTTCTTTGGCCTCTTCGTTTTTCTTTTTGAAACATACATCCATGCTATGACCTTTCTTACGACAGTACCCGCAGCGCGTTTGGCCACTTACACTACTATGCTGACCATCATTCGCAGCGTTCTGCTTGCTTTCTTGCCAGCTCGGCTTCACAAGCTTCGTTTAGCAGCTCATCAAAATTTGAGATCTTCGGACGGTTCACCCTATCTCGGATTTGTACATGCAACAACCCAAACAAAATGTCTATTTGGTCAGCTTCGGCTGGCACATTAGTTAATTGGGAGAAAAGTGCGCGTTTTTCCTAATAAAAGTGTCCGTCGTCTCATGTTTTAGCTGCTTATTCTAAAAAATTTCAACATATATGCGCCAAGATGGCCTTGAAGGGGAAAATGCTTCACGTAGCATGCAAACAATATCATCAAAAGTTTTGGCTTTTGATTTTACCCCGCGCCACCATTCTGCTGCATCACCCTCAAGGATCATAGGCATACCACTAATCGCATCTGCATCATTTATTTTCTCTACTGACTTAAATGTAGAAATTGCAGCAATGAATTCCTCTACTTTTGTGGAACTACGCTCGCCACTAAAACGAGCAGAACAATTACTGAACGAGCCAGGTCGTGAGTTGGAGTTATTGACGGCTTGCAAAAGCCTCTCAAACTGTTCATTCGTTAAAGTCGTCATGTTATTAGAATGATTTTTTGCAATACGTTCGCTTCGGCGAATCGGAGTGGGAGAGTCACTCGAGAGGTTGGCCACGATTTTACGCGACAATGTTAAATTGTTTGCCACTCAAAATTTGGCCACGCAGATGGGCACCAATGTAATAATTTTGTTTGTAAAATTTATTAGGAAAAAGTTGTCAGGGATCTTGCGTAGGTAATTAAGCTCTCGAGTGCGCAGCTCACGACAAAGTAAGTATAGCACTCTGAGGATCGCGCTTTTATAGGCTGACATTCCCGCTGGAATGACAGCTTTAACAATAGAAAAGCTATGCGGTGAAATGCTTACATGAAGTGCTTATAAAAGGATTGCTTACAAACAGTGTGACCAGATAACACAAATCTTCCCTTACATACCAAACACTTAATCTAACGTAATTCTGCTACAATACATATATATGTATAGCATGTACTTACGGCGGCCGCCGTAACAAATTGATTACATGTGCGTACTTCCACTTCATAGGACCATGGTTAGATCCGTGGTCAGATCATAACCCAAAATAGCAGTCGTCCTTCGGAAGGCAATAGCAAACCTTCGAGTATATTTCTGCCTTGAAAACCCTTATAAAATCATTTGCCGTTCGGAGTCAGCCTTAACAAATAAGAGCAGCGCTGTCTTCGGCTATGCCGAAGGCTTCATACCTTTCATGAACATCTGAAAATTTTACTTAAACAGATTACTGCATTTGGAAAAATGTATATATTTACAGCATACATATATAAAAAAATATATCTAAGAAATCAGAGGTATGGAAGATATACCTTATATAGCAGCATTCTAAGGGATTTTCACTGCTGTGTGATCGTTATGTAAACCGGTAACACAATTTATTGGGTTTAGCTTCCTACATAAAGGAGATATATCGCAAAAACTGGTATCTGAACAATCAGGGGAATAAAAGATAAAGCTTATACAGCATAGATTTTTACGATTTTCTCAGTAGATTTTGTATTATCTATATATATAAAATTCAAATTATGTATGTACCTATAGACACAC